ACATGACCTTGGGACACAGTGCTGGTCATAAAGTATGAACAAGCTGGCAAGCATCTGGATTTTGATCATGTGATCATGGGGCTGCTACAATGGTCATAAGTGTGAAAAACATAAGTCTCTTTTTTCAATACTGTTGTGACTTTGAATGTTCACTAAGCAAACTGTTATAGGTCGAGGACTACCTATACTTAGTATCTTTTCAGCAGCTTGAGAAACTGCTCTTATGAATATAAGCAAAAATGTGAGGAGCGGATGCATGTCAACATGGAAGCAACAACTGTGAGATCAAATCCATCCTTTTTTATGTGCATTGTTACACATATAAAATGGAGGCAGCCATCTTGATTTTTTGGACACTGCAGGATATCAGAATTTTCTTGTATGGCATTTCAGCCATCCAGGGAGCATTCTTTGCCAGCATCTAAGCAAGCAGTAGGCAGCAGATGAGGGCTAGTTATTCCATGAAATGTATAATTATACATTAAATAAATGAGTAAATACACAAATTAATGGTGAATAAGAAGATGCTTCTCAAAAGTTCAGAAGAATGCATGAAAACCTTAGTTGATAGGATATGTTCTCAGATCTTTACTACACTTTTCTTTTTCTATCCCTAACCTGAGAACTGACTATTCCAAATCAGTAAGAAATATTAAAACAATAAGCAACATTATATCAGGCAGGTTGTTGTAGGAGACAATAAGGTACAATCAATTCCAAAATATTTTTTAAATTGAACAAAGTCTATGTTTTAAAACAATTCTAGGTTTTTCTTGGTCAGTTTTTTCATAATCTCACACCTAAACATTATTCAAAGATGAGTTTAAACGACATCACTGTTTACTTGCCCTGGCAAAAAAGGAGAAATTCTGTAGGGGTATGCACATGTGTGTTTAGAAGTATCTCTGTGACAGTAATTATATACCAGAAAATTGGTTGTTGTTTTGTTGCTATTTTGGAGTCTTTCCTATTTTTCCAAGAATCTTTGGACAATGTAATACTTTTTTTCTACCTTTTTTTTGTCCTTCAAAAACAATGGTTCAGTAGGGAGTATGTGGGGGAACCCAAAATACTGAAATAACTCTTGGGATTGTTTCAAATCCTAATTTTAGATTAGGATTCTTCCATGTATGAGTCATGTTCTTCCTACCCTTTACAAAAGACCATGGGCAAAAATTCAATTTGCCCCTAGCGCAATGTGAACACTTGTGGTAAATAGTCTCTAAGATAGAGAAGGATACCTCATTTGGCAAATTCTGTATCATGTTTATATAGTTTGGACCAGATTGTTAGAATGTATCCAGGATATAATTTATATGAAGCTAATGCTTTAACCTGGGAAAGTCTTAAATTTTTCATATTGCAAGGATCAAGACTTGATTGATTTCCTGCGTATTAATTTTCTCCCTGAATGAGAAAGTGATCATCAGCAAAGGAAGTCACAAATTTCTCACAGACTAGAGACAGACTATGCAAAGTAGAGTATTTCCCGTTGTTCTTGTCATAACTAAAATCCTTCACCACTATTTCATACCTCCTAGAAAAGTCTTCATTTTTTATAAAAAAAGCACAATTTTCCTCCTTTTTTTGACAATGTATTTTTAATGATAATTATCTTTGTATTTATTTTTCCCCTTTTCATTATTTTAAAAGCAATAAATAAGTCATATTTCTCTTTGCATGTTATGAGTTCAAGCTCATTTGAACTTTTACAATGCTCATAATCTAAGCATTAATAAATAAGCAACCAAGGCTGCAATCTTCATAAGCAAATGTTCTTCCTCTTTATTATTTAAAAAAAAATCTAACTGTAGTCAATCCTGCACTTCCTTCTTGAGTGTACAAATTTTTATCTGAACTTCTCAGGCCTGAGTTTCCACTTTCAACCCTACCAGCGTTTTGCCTAAAGCATCTCTCACCAACCTTACCCTGTTTTATTATTATTCGTTGAAACATTTCCACTTTTTTATGTCATGCAGCCCATCTTTTGTCACTGTCTTTTATCCAGAAAATATAGCCCTGAATCATAGAATCATAGGGCTGGAAGGGACTTTGGAGGTCTAGTGCAAGTCCCCCACCATGACAGGAGACCGTGTATAAACATAGACAAATGGTTGTCCAATGTTTTCTTGAAAATCCCCAGTGATGGTGCACCCACAACTCCAGGAGGCAAGCTGTTCCATTGGTTAATTGTCCTGTCAGGAAGTTTATCCTTAGTTCTAGGTTGGATCTCTTTTTAATGAGATTCCACCCATTGCTTCTTGTCCTACCCTCAGAAGCTTTGAGAAGAAGTTGATCCCCACCTCTCCACAGCAGTTCTTCATATATCAAAGATAGCTATTATGTCACCCTAATTTTTCTTTTCATTAGGCTAGACATACCTAGTTCCCTTTACTATTTCTTGTACGATTTATCCTGCAGACCCCTTATCGTATTAGTTACTTTTTTCTACTCTTTCTATGGTATCATTTTTTTATATTATGGTGACAGAACTGGACACAGTATTCCAAGTGTGGCCTCCCTAGTGCAATAAAAAACAGTATTATAACTTCTCATGATATCGATACTATTCCTCTACTAATGCAGCTTAGGGACCAAATCTCTTAAATGAAACAATTTTTTCCTTTTCCAATCCTCTTCCATGGCACAGTAATTTAATCACTATCTTAAGTGCTTTCTTACATTCTACATCTTCCAGTCAACTAAATGAGCTATATGCCTCATCTTAGTGTTTTCAGAAAGTGACAAAAGCATTTCTCTATCCATTTTCTCCATACGGATGTTGCTTGAAACACATAATTACAATTATGCCTTACTCATGGGATTTGCTGTTTTATAGCTGCCAAACATTAAGCTGTCATCTATGTTGAGCTCTCAACATACATCTCTGAGATATTTTTCCTGGTTGATTAAAGACAACTCAGACACCGTAAGTCTATATATGACTTTCTTTTGGTGGTGTGGAGGAGGTGGGGGAATCCCATTATGTATCACATTAAACTTGCATTTTTCATTTGGGTGACCATTCACTTTTCTGAAGCTCTTCAGACCATTTTATTACCCTGAATAGTCCAGTCCCCAATTTACTCCCAGAAATATGGCCAGTCTCCAATGAACTCTCAAGTCAAGATCATTTTGCAAATTATAAACCTCTTGATTGCAGCATTGATTCTTGAGAAAATTGATTCCAGTGAGAAAATTGTCCATATATTCCTGTTATTGACTTTTTGGTCTTTGCTGAGTTAATAATCCTTTTGTTGGTTGGTCCTTTTATTCTAGGACTATTTACTTTACTCAAGAGCTATTGACTCTTTTGTTCCCCAAAGGCTTTTGAAAAATCCAAGCATACATTGACAAGAAGTCATCTGTATGGCTGGATCTACTGACCTCTTAAAAACTATAGTAGTTTAATGAGGGAAGATTTAAATTTTGAGGATCTGTGCTAATCTCTTCAGCTAGGCTTCATCCTATTACTTAGTTTACCATTTATATCTATTTGTCTGGAATAGATGTTGAACTTTTTCAGGTTTTTCCAAATCCCTTTCTCCTGGGTCCTTTAAAAATATATTCCAGCCTCTGGTACAGAACAAAAAATTAAAGAAAAGTATATTTTTGGTAGATATTGAGCAATTTTACATTGTTTACTGAAGTGTAGAACAGTAGATGCTCTCAGAACTAGAATTGTTTTGTTATTGTTACTCTCAAAATGATCCAGAATATCTATTTGGGCATCTCAATTTGCTTTAACTGCTTCAACTCCCTGTCTGAAAAGTACAGGTCATATCTCCAACTTCTATTGTAAAGACAGGTGGAAATAATTACAATGATCCAGGCTTTCTTTGATCATCGTATCTTTCCTTTCTTCTGTAATGGTCCAAAAACTATTCTGCCAAGTTTCTCTGATTCAAATATATGTGACAAAATACACGTGGCAATGTATTTTGCCATATGTTGGTACAATAATCCTCCAGTATTGGTAGGCTTATGTTCTCTGGGAAAGACAGCTATGCCAGAGATTCAAACATACTGGGGAGCTTTCAGCAGAGGAGCCAGACAAAGAGTGTTTCTCCTATAAACAATATGGTGACAAGTATTTTACAAAATCCATACTGAATTGATCATTGCCTGGATCAACAAGGACCACACGGGAGTTCCTGGACATCTCATGATAAATGGGCTACAGGACTGAGGACAGTTGGCTGAGCAACCAACTGCAAGATTAGTGGAAGAAAACCTATTGCAATTACACAAAGTTTGAAAACAACAAAAAAAAGATCTATTATTACAAATCAAGTCCAATGCTAAGAGGGGTCCAGAATCCTAGGAACATATTTTAAGGAACACTGGTTAGGCTATCTAGAGATGTGGTTTCCTTGTTTTAGAGAAATAAAATAAAGTTGCTTTGTTTTTAACTTTTTATATATCATGGTTTGAGGCATGGTACATGTACGCACCTGGGCAATGTGCTGTTTTGGCATCAATATAACTAGCTTATGATTAAGAATGCACAAAACATTCTATATATGTACTATTTTTGTGCACAGAACAGTTGGGTTTGCCTGAAACAACACATAAGCATTTTGGAAGCTTGGGATCACCTATAGAGCAAAATTGTTGCCTAGGTAAAGAGTTTGGCAGAACATCTGGAATGCAATGGCTTACTCCAGATTCAAAACAAAATTTTGTATTTTACACATGTGCTTGCTACTTGTACATATTTTATAATAGATTTCAGATCCAACTGAAAAAATTGTCTTATGTGTTACTAAATACATAATACCCTAATAAATACCATTCATACTGAATGCTCTAAGTTTAAATCAAAGCAATTAGAGGACTTTTAAATCCTATTAGACACTTTTTAACTGATAGGTTGAAAAAAATTATTTTCTATGGGTTCTTGCATACCAAAGCTGTATCAACATAGTAGATAGATGTTCTCCTGTTCTCCAGGAACATCTAGCAAATGAAGTCCTGTATTACGTTCCTTCCAATTTACACCAGGTGGAGAGAACAAACACGTGGTACGTTTTTCTTTTCCAATTTCAAATCGTTTCCATCCCCCTCTCCCCAACTCTTGTACGTTTTGTTTCCCTGCAAAGTAAAAGGAAGTCGAAAGGAGAGCTTTTTGGAGATCAGCGTCCCACGAAGGCTGCAATTATATATCCCAAAGGAAGTAAACACGAGATCTACTAGGCAAGGCTGCGGCGAAGGGCAGTGCTACATATGAAACAATCAGAGTTCACCCGGATTTGAGGAAGACCTGCCTGAATTACTCTGCATTTTTGTCGGGAAAGGCTTTACAATTTAGTCCCGCCCATCGTCGCAGATGAAGTCAGAGCCTGGTCTGGGAGGAAGACGCCTGCTGTACCCTGCAGTTAGGTCCTCTCTCTCTCTCTGCAAAGCACCGCTCCAGGCCGGGGGCCGGGCTGAGACGGAAGCACACAACGTTTTCGCGGTGCGTAGGCCGCTCTCTTCCGAGCGGGGTCGCCTCTCTGGCAGCCGGCGGGTGCGAAGGTCGCCGCGCGGCGGAGCAGCAGCTCCCTCGGGGGAGGCGCGCTTTGAACCAGGCGCCGGGAGACAGAAAAGGAGAGCCATGGGGAGCCTGAAGGAAGAGCTCCTGAAGCCCATCTGGCACGCTTTCACCGCCCTCGACTTGGACAGGAGCGGTAAAGTCTCCAAGTCGCAGCTTAAGGCAAGTCCAGGAGAGATGGGAGAGCGCCTCGAGCCTTCCACAGAGGCGAGGAGATGGGGCGGCTGGGGCAGTTTCTGGGGAGCCCTCGAGGGGGAAGCCCATTAGCTGCCCCCGGCGGCACCTTCCCTAGACACTTCCCCTTTTTTGGCGGGGAGCCTTCCAGACACGTGTCAGAGCGGCATGGGCGGGGGGAAGCGACCTAGAGTCAAAGGCTGGGGTAGTATCGGTTCCATTGCTAAGCCCAGCTGCCCCACCTAAAACTCTTCTCCGCCTGGAAAGCTTTTCTTTTGCTTTTCACAGTGAGTGGCATTGGGGGAAAAAAATTCCTCGGAGCATTGTGTCTTTTGGCCTCAGAGCTAAAACAGAGCTGTGTGTCCCTTAGGATGTGAGGTGGTACAGGCAACTCGGATTCCTTCCAGGGGATGATGGCTATACAGGAAGTCCTCGAATTACAACCACAATTGCGCCCAAAATTTATGTTGCTGAGTGAAACATTTGCTAAGTGAGTTTGCCCCATTTTACTAATTTTCTTGCCACAGTTGTTAAGTGAAGCATTGCATTTGTTAAGTTAGGACCACGGTTGTTAAGTGAATCTGGCTTCCCCATTTGCTTGTCAGAAGGTCACAAAACCTGATCACATGACCCCAGGACACTGCAAGCGTCGTAAATATGAACCACTTGCCACGCGTCTGAATTTTTGATCATGTGACCATGGGGATGCTGTAATTGTCATAAGTGTGAAAAACAGTCCTAAGTCCCTTTTTTCAGTGCCATTGTAACTTTGAATGGTCATTAAATGAACTGTTGTAAGTCAAGGATCACCTGTATTTTCAGAAAGGCTTTGTTTTGGGTGTTCTTACAGAACTTTACTAAGAACTTTGTTCACATTAAGCTATTGGTTGCTTTATCAGACGTTATTAAGTAGCAATAGCACTCAGATTTATATACCATTTCATGGTCCTTTACAGCCCCTTCTAAGCAGTTTACCTGGATAATCTGGGTCCTCATTTTAGTGACCTTGGAAGGATGGAAGGTTAGGTCAACCTTGAGCAGGTGAGGAAGACAATTGTGTGGATTCACACAACATGCTGACCATAATCCCACAGACTGGGCTCAGACAACACTTTCAGCCAAAACCAAATAAACCATGTAACTGAGTAGGATATCTGAATCCAGGCAGGATCTGGAGTTGATAACTCCTGATCAGAGTAATCTTGAGCTCCACTTGGGAGAATCCAGAAATCAAAGTATGTTTTTAAGGTAGGTTTCTGAGAGAACTTTGGCAAGCCCACCTTTTTATTTCTGCAGGTTGGGAGGCTGAAAATGCTTTTTTCTTTAGATGACAATTTCATTTTTTCTGGGTCTAAGTGATAGAATTCACTGGCACAGGACCAGGCAAAGCAGATTTCAGAGTATTAGCCTGTCTTCATCAACAACTTTAGAGGAAATATAAAAAGTGAAAAAAACTACATACACCCCTTCCCGGATATCTGCATAAGGATATTACATAGTAACTCAAGTGTTCTTTTGTTTTAACTAATTTCAAACAATTATAAAGTAATACAAAAAACTAGTGTGGCATTTATCAGTGTAGCATGACTCTTAGGGCCACTTGAGTATCAGCTATGCTGCACTTCATGTAAGTGTGATGGTATTGGTCAACTAATTTTGCTATGTGCTCATTTTGTAATTTAGGATGAGTTCATTGTACATTTAATTATAGGCATGCTAGAGTTCTATAAATGCTGAAATAAGCTAAATGTGCATGCGGGGTGGGAGTTAAATCTTAAAACAGCTTACATATCAGAATGTATGCATTATGCAGGTGGTTCAGTACAGATTAGAAATTACATCCATGTATTCATCTTTTCAACATGATTGGTCTTGTGGATAAGACTATTCAGGGACAATGTTACACTATTAGGCAGTGATTTATTTTAAATCAGAGGTCTCCAAACTTGCCAATTTTAAGACTTTATGACTATGCTGGCTGGAGAATACTGGGAGTTGAAGTCCACGAGTCTTACAGTTGCCAAGCTTGGAGACCTCTGTCTTAAATGGTGAAATAAGACATACTTTTAAAAGGACAACAAACTGTTAATGATTGATCTCATTGCATTTGTGTAAGAGAAGACTCTGAGCTTGAGTGCCTAATTTGCATGGAAAAAATAAGGTTCAGTCTTTTGTAGTTCCACATAAAACTTGGAAATTCCCCTCTCTTGAAGAGCCAGTCAGCTAGACAAGACTGTTTTAGCAAGATTAATGCCTTGATATGGAGTAAAGTAATTTCTGCTGCTTTCTAAATTTTTGCAGCTTTGTGATTTGTTAATTGCCTACCTCAACCCTATCAAAATATTTTGGCTGTTTAAGAATATTCTCTAATGCTCCTTGTTGTACGTGAAACTGAATCAAATAAGATAAAGTTAGCCTTGAGTTGAGTTCGGCTTCTTGGTGACACAACCACAGTGGAAAATAATGTGCAGTTTTCTTGGCAAAAGTACTGAAATGATTTTGCTGTTGCCACTTTCTTCTTCTGGGATATTTTTCAATTTCCCAGTTATAAGTTTGATATTTGTTTATTTTATATTTTTATCCTACTTTTATTACTTTTATTAATAACTCTAGGCAGTGAACATACTTAATATTTCTACCTTCTTCTATTTTCCCCACAACAACCAACCTGTGAGCTGAGTTAGGCTGAGAGAGCGTAACTGGTCCAAAGTCAACTAGCTGATGAGACTAGAACTTACAATTACTTGGTATGAGGCCAAGCTGGCTCTCCCTGGTTGTCACAATCCAAGTATTAAACCAGTTTAGCTTCTATCATAGTTCTGTTTAGACTAATGAAAAGGAATAATTGTTCTTATTCTAGAGTTCTCTTTAATTGATGTATTCTAAAATGTAGCTTGAATTTTGGGAACAGTTTAAGGAGATATAAAGCTGCCTCATATAAACATATTTTCTAATCCTTGGGTAAAAAGTAAAGATTCTAGAACAGGGGTGTCAGACTTGACTTCATTGCGGGCTGCATCAGGGTTGTGTTTGACCCTGGGGAGCCAGGGTGGGTGTGGCCAGGGTGGGTATAGTCAGTTCGACGTCACTCATGTCAGGGTGCCTTGGGTGGCTGGAGCGCTCTGCCAGGGAAAACGGGTTCCCGAGCTCCATTTTCAGCTGCAATGGCCTCCTTCAACTCTCTGCACTCTTGAGGCACCCACTTTCTATTTTACCATATCTAGTTTTGTCCTGGTTCTGATTACATGAACTTCCCCCGAAAAACCTATAAACCCACTTTATCCTAAAAGGGTTTTAGGTAAGGCTTTCCCAACACTTGTTATTAGACACATAGTCATTGTAAGGGATGGAACCCAGATCTGCTACAACGTAGCACTGAAGTGTGGTCCCTTCTTCAGTATTTCAAATAATAGAACACACAAAAATTGTTTGATGTGTTGAAACAAAGACATAATTCTTTCCTTAGTTTGGGATGTGGTCCTCCCCTGTTTAAAAAAAATTAAGTGATTTAAGCACAGTGATACCTGGCGCACACAACTATTGAGCTAAAATTAAATTTGGCTCAGATAATTGCCATTTTGCTGTAGTGTCCATTCAAGTACTGCCAAATTATAATTGCTCATTACTGTAGATCTTTTTGTCCTGTGAAAATGAAGAACATATAATCTTAGCTATTTTAGGCCACGGTTGGACTGCCAGGCACAGTTGGAACGAAGCCATTCTTATTATAAGAATTATTCTATCATTGTATTTCACATTTAATGCTGCAAAGCATAAAAACGTAGCATGTCCCACCTTCTTCCATTCAGTTGGCTGTTGCTCTTTCTACTCCATTGGTCTACAACATTCAGGCACCCGAATGAAAGAACTGGTTTTTGTTTCAGCTCCATGTGGAGCTTGCCAAAGGGAGATATTCTGTACTGGAGACGAAATAGAACAAGTAGTCAAATACTCCATTCTTGCTATACAGTCTTTGGAGCATTCACCATAGCACAATTTGTAGATCTTTGATCTGTAAATCTGGGCATATTCCAGCAGGCTCCCTTGGCCCTCATTTCCTCTTGGTAAGCCAACACTAAGAGTGTTTTGAAAAGGCTTCTACACCTGTGGAATGCCTCGGATAGTAGATCATTGTAACATCACTAGTTTGGCTGGAGTCTGTGCTGGCAACTGTGAATTCTGTTAATAATTCATGGCAGACTTAAGAGAATTAGGCAGAACTGAATGAAATCCCAGAATTCTTTTCCGTATTTATAAGTTTTCTGAAAGTTGTCTGTGGAATTTTTATAAACATTGCTGGGAATCTTACACAGTTCTTCAAATGTCTTCTTTTTTTTAAATTTAAATTGACACTATGGGTGGTAACTCTAAATTAAAAGCTGGATTAAGTATAAAAATGTCTTGAACTTTGAGAGTAGATTTGATGTCATGGAGTAGATGGCCAAGATTAATGCAAATATCTTGTGCTTCCCCACCACAATGATGCTGTGGAACCTATCATGTCCTCATATGAACACACTGCTTACTACAAGGAAAAAAATTACTTTAGTTTGGACGTTGTAGAGAAGAATAAGGAACAGGAAGAATTTAGCATTTGTTTTCTGCATTACACTGAATAATGCTAGCAGAGTAGTTGCTGTGTCAGTTTTCTGTGTGAAGCTGCAGTGAAAGTTTATTAACTACATTGACAGTTCCTAGGGCAGAAGTTCAGCGAGCATAGAAGCTTCTGCAGTCTGAGTAATCAAAGCGTTATTATGAGTATTTTATTTAAGATAGTAACACATTTGCTTTTACAGCACTGTGCTCTAAAATGGTTGTATCATGTAATTAACTTTTGAAACTTTAGATTATTTTAAGTGTTGCTCCTCTACTCCTACTACTACTGTATTCCTATCAGTGAGCAACCTTTTGTGAGCGAGGGAGCAGAGGTTTTGTCCCCTGTTGTAAATTAGCCTGCCCATTCTACAGCCTTCATTGCCAGTTCAGTAGAGCCTAAATTATCTTTGTGTTAAGAGATGGATTCTTCAAAAGTTGTATTTCTTCTCTCTCTTGCACTAGAGCACCCCACCGAATCAGTACTGTAAAGAATTTGGCTGTATTTTTTTTTTAAAGAAACTGTATCTTTGTAATTCAGGTTATTGCTGAATTTATTGTCAGGACATTGGGAGGACCTCCCTGTCCCATAAAAACTGTGTAATGTCCATATTTTAGTCTATAACCATAGATATTTTAACACTGCAAAAACTGCAAGGTAGGCAGCCTCGGAAGTTTTAGAGCAGTTCTCAAGGTTAACATTTCTATTTTGTTCAAAGAGGAAATGGGGTAAGAATTAGAGCCAGTGAAGCAAGACATTGTAGCATAGAGGAAGAAGTGCTACAGTGAAGTTAGTGGAAAGTAATGTTTGGAACAGAGCTGCATTAATCTCTGATAAGATAATATTCTTCAATATATTTTTAATTACTTGGAATGAATGATACACCTATAAATCATAAATTACATTTTTTTAAAATTGAAAACTGAATTTTCCCAAGGAGGATAGCTCTAAGTAAAATTTGCTTAGAAAAATCTTTCCCAGTACTGGAATCATGTTTTTTAATTAATTAACTTTTGCAAATGGATTCTCTCAAATTGTATACAAGTGTGAAATCTGTGAAGGCACTTTGTTTGGTGAGAACTCAGGTGTAGTGGCAATAATGCTGGCAGTTCAAGGCCACCTGTATCTGTAATTTTCTATATTTGACAAGGGTGCATTGTGGGTCCTTCAGATTATTTAATTTTTTTATCTGGCTACTCTTAATAGATACACTCCCTCAGCATGTGGGGGTAGAGAAAGTGCTTTGGTTTATTTGATAATTCACTGCAGTGTCCTTCACAACTTCTTTTAAAAATACTCTGCAATTTGCAGCCAACAACACCATAGCTCCAAGTGTATAAATCATGTAGATTGAATGGCACTTCTAACATGAAGGTAGACTGTGAAAATTTCCTTTATATGTTAAAACAAAGAATTTTCTCCCTTAATAACCATGTGAATAAGGATGCTTACTATTGAAATCTTCCAATTTGAGAGAGGGTGGAGCTTTATATAATCCCATTATATTGCTTTTTTATTTTTTGCTAATCAATGCTGATACATTAAATACAAGTCTACAGAGATAGAATATCTTTGCTCCAATCATTGGTAATAGAGCATGATTTAGACTAGAGGTCCCCAACCCCCGGGCCGTAGCCCAGTACAGAGTTAGAAGGGACCATGGAGATTTACTAGTCCAACCCCCTGTTTAAACAGGAAACCCTATGCCATTTCAGACAAATGGTTGTCTAATCTCTTCTTAAAAACCTCCAGTGTTGGAGCACCCATAACTTCTAACTATTTTCCTGTTACCCTGTTCCTTTGTAGTATTGTTACTTGTTGTTTCTGCTGCTTGAATTCCCAGAATGTTCTATGGTTACTTTAGTCACCTATTCTTGAGTAACTTTTAAGATTAGCTGTAAAAGCTCAATCTTTAAAATAAAAATGTTCATTGATTCATGTAAAAATAGATAATCATCTATCTCTTTAAAGCAGGTGTGTCTAATCCATGGCCTGTGGGCCATATACAGCCCTGGACAGTTAGTAATGTGGCCCCACAACATTGTAAACTTTTAACCGGAATTTTGTTATTTATATTCATTAACTGTATTACATATTTTATATGCAGCCCAAGACAATTCCTTTTCACTTAATATGGCCCAGGCAAACTAAAAGGTTGGGCGCCCAGGATTTAAAGCCTTCCTGTCCTTTTTCTTCAAAGTCCATCTTTCCTTTCCTTAAGAGTGTCAGAAAATAGGTTGGCTTGCATGATTCTTATCTTGGAACAAGTAAGCCTTCATGACAGAAAGGCTACCATAGAAATGCCATATCTCTTTTGCTAGCCAGTGTTATAATTTTATTCAACAGTAAGTTCTTGGGATCTAGGGCAGAGTTTATAGGCAGTGTTTCAAGTTACTTAGACCAATCCTATTTTAAGTTGATAAGTACAGAATTAGTTGGGAACTTATTACAGAAGCAACATATGTTTTGGTAATAACCAGATATTTGAATTCTGAATTAGCTGAAGCTCCTGGACCATCTTCAAAGGCAGTCTTGATACCTTTTGTATTTGTTTTGTCTCATAAAAGGTATGGGACAAGCATATAGAATATTGGCATTCTGTATTATTAACTTTGTTTTATCAAACTATAAACAGCACAGAACATTCATGAATGATATTGTAAGATACTTTGGAACTTAAAGGTAGCAGGCATGGAAGGAAGGCAGTTCAGTTTATCAGTATTGGGTGAGCATTAGAATATTTGTAGGTCTGAGGGTTTCTGACAGAGGAAAATGTAGCATTATTGGTTTGTGTTTGATATCATGCCAAGGTCATTTAAAAGTTGCCTGGTTGATGTTTCCAATTCCTTCCTTTGAACTTGATCCAAAACATTGTTTGGGCTGCCCTAGACCTAGCACATTATTCTTCTCAGTAAAGGACAGGACTCTTCAGGAGGTCATTATTCAAACTATTGGTGGTTGTGTTTAGGATCTTCAATAATGAATGCCATGGTTCAGGTAGTCCCCAGGTTAGAACGTCCGGCTTACAGACAACTCGTAGTTACGAGCAGGCAGCTGACACAAAATGGCAGCTGATACTCCCCCTCCTGAGCTGATGATCCGTCAAAGTTGCACAATGCCTCCATGAGTGTCACAAAGTAGTGTGTGCGTTTTTAATATACTGTATAGCCTGTTCTCCTCCATGCTGCAGTGAGAGCCCAGGATGGGTAGACTCCTTCTTATGACGTAATTAAGCTGGGTCTGTACTTGTATATATAAAAAGCCAGCCCCTGGAGAATCCCCAGCTTTGACTCAATTTCCTTAAGTCACAAGCTGTGTCTCTGAAAGCCTTAGCTTTATTCAGTTATTTTCTACAGAAGCTACCCTTGCTTCAATCAGCTCCCGGGGATCTTGGCAGCTGCAACTTCAGGAGAGTGGGGCCCCGTTCTCCTGCAATGTTGGGATAAACATTTCCCCAAGCGCTGCTAGGCAAGCAAGGAAGCATCTGAGACCTTCCCCATAGCCGCAGTTTATCCGATCATAAAACTGATCGGCAAACTGATAACAGAGCCAGCCAGCTGATCGCGTGGGAGGCATCTCTTCCTTTTCTGGCTGATCTGATCGCTCAGGGCTTGCAATAGCCTAAGGAAATTCACTTCTTGGAGCCATCAATGAGCAGCGGCTATCTTTGAATGCAGCCTCTTCAGACACGAGGTGAGCGGCCATTTTAAGTGGCCTGGTGGCCATTTTCAGGGCTCCAAAGACCCAGTTCCACTTGAGCCTTGCTTATTTAAATTGGATCAGGACAGTGCTCATGCAGAGTTTTACTCCCCAGTGGAACAGGCCTTCCAACCCACTAAAAGGAAAAGACGCAGACAAGGTAGTGCTCCGAGGGAAGTGGCTGCAAAAATCAGAGCTAAGGCTCTAGCCCCTAAGAAGACAGACTGAGTTGAAGGCAGAGAAACGCAGACAGGCAGCTCTAGAGAGACAATTTAACAAGACTATTCAACAAAGGAGAGGGCAACTGCAACAGGTTTCCCAGCCAGCCGAACATCAGGGTTTCCAGAGAAGCCCCCCCAGGGGAGGGGAAGTTGTTCATGGAGCCTTTGGACCCCCACCCCCGTCTGATCCCCTGAGGCATTTGAGGAACAACCTCAGGATTTCAGCAGGTCTGGGACATATTTCCAGCAAACTTCTGGGCCCTATGCCCCCTCTCTTCCCTCCAGAGTTCAGGCCTCCCAGATTAGGCCGGAAGCCACCTTCATGCCCACTGCAGCTGGCCTTCAGCCCTCCACTACCTTTGATAACAGGCCCAGGGAGATCAAAGATGTTGTTTCCTTAGCCATTAGGCAGGGATTGGCTGAAGGCTTTCAACAGATTTTTTGGCCTCTGGAAAGGGTTCAGGCCCTTCTCCCTTCTCAATCTATGACTTCCTTACCTCCGCAGCAAGATTTCCACAGACCCCAAGACCTCAGGGTCCATTCTTCACAGGCAGAATGGGAGGACTATGAAGGGGAAGAGGGCACCTCCCTATCTGAACACAGTTTCTCCTCTCGTTCAGAGCGCGAAGAGGGCGAAATCTGTGATTGCAATCTTTCAGAGGAAGAAGACTCGTGTCCAGACCAGCCCTCCTCTGCATTAGTCTTTAAACCAGCCCTCTTTAAACTCCTACTTAGCAAGGCCCTGGTCACTGCCAAGCTGTCACCTGAGGAAGCAGCACCTGAACCACAAGGGGGACCCTCCAGGCAAGGAGACTCACACTTCTCCAAGCCAGTAGTACACACGGAGGTTTTGCCTTCTCCCCTTTTGTTGCTTTTAATACATTTGCTGAATGTATTGGCTGTAAATATGCAAATCACCGGCTTCTATACATTTCTTCCTACACTGACAAAGAGATTAGGTACTTTTGTGTGTGTCTGTGTTAAGCATTGGCAAGGAAAAAAAGCAAGCATAAATTACTAATTCTGGAATAAAGGAAGAAAGATTATGACCATCACTTGTGGAACAGCATTTTTCTTTATTTATATTTCAAGCCGAGAGTTGAAATAGATTTACATGCTAATTCTCAAGCCAGTATACTTTTTTTTAGTATGGTAATTATTATGTATGAACTCCCAAATTTTATAGTGCAGGTATGGTCAAATGGTCTTCCCTTTTGTCATTCATATATCTCATTAATTCAAATGGAGTCCGTATTTTCTCAAAAGTAATATTGCAAGTGTTTCCCCTCTCCCTCAGTATTTAATAGCATCAGGAATTATATAGTATCCCAGAAAAAATAATAACAAACTATATCTGTATTGTTTTGCAGAAATCTATATAAACAGGTATGGAAAATAACAATGAAATCATCTTAATTGATTTTTTTTCTCTATTTTTAGGTCCTTTCTCACAACCTCTGCACATTGTTGAATGTTCCTCATGATCCAGTGGCCTTAGAAGAGCATTTTAGGGATGATGATGAAGGACCTGTTTCTAATCAGGGATATATGCCTTATTTAAATAGATTCATCTTGGAAAAGGTATGTGTGCCTTTATTCCTAATGTGTGGTTAGTTTTAATTTAAGCTTTTGTTCTTTCCAACCCAACAAAATATTGGAAATATGTAAAGCCTTGGAATTCTTGTTACATACATGATATTCTTCCGACTAAAATCGGAATTCCGATTTTTCTCATCAGCAGCTGGCTCCTTTTGCATCTGGCTTCTTCGCTCACTGTCCCACAAAACGGCCCGGACTATGGGAGCTACACGCTTCCCCCTTTCCTTTCTTGCAGCTTGAATCACCTGGAGGAAAGGCGCTGAGATGCCTCAGGCACCGCCTGCGAGGGAGCCTCTACGCGCTGGCTGTGACAGGGCTTGAGCGACCTTCTCTCCCGCTCTTTGCGGCGGCTCCAAAGGCTTTGCACCCCTCCCTTCCTATGCGGTCCTCCTGACCTGCTTGTGACTCACTAGAGCATGAGTGGGGTTGCGTGCTTGTGTGTGTGTGTGTGTGTGTGTGGTGCGTGCTAGGTGCGGGGACGCTGGCAAAGGACGACTCGTCTTTCTGTTCGTCGGGGCCAACTACAACATGTGGAGAAGCCACTCTTCCCCCTTCGTCGCCGAAAGCAACAGAGGCGCCAAGGCTCGCTTCCTGTTCCCGCCAATATTGCCCCACTTTCCCTCTTCTCTTCCTACGCACACAGCCGGCTTCAGGTGATTTTCTCCACCCCCTGGCCCCGAAGGAAGCATCTTTGGAGACAGGGCGGGAACGAAAATGCTCAGCTGAGTGGAAGAAGAAAAGCTTATACTTTCCCGGGAGTTACAGAGCGCAGAGACAAAGGCTCGGGAGGAAAAGAGCTTCGTTCAGCTATTGTTAGCCAACCCTCCATTGTCCTGAGGGAGGTGGCCGGCAACGAACTACACAGATTACTAAGCAACTGAAAGAAATGCTGCTTCGCTCAAGTGACAGATTTCTTAAGGCAGAGGGAAGGCGGTTTCTCTTTAGGAAGTTGGACTTCACTGCTCTTTGTGTAGCTGTGTGGGATACCTGTAGCGAAGATTTGGCCAACAAGACTTAAGGTTGATATTACTTCGTCTTCTGTGACTTTAAAGGTCAAATAATAGTTGCAGCCTCCAACCCACCATCATAAAAGATAAGGCATATTGCACTGCCTGAGCTTCCCACTTTAACATGTGTGGCACCTAAGTTTGTGGCACCTTAAAAAACCAGCAAAATGTTATGGCACCTTTCATAGAAGAATGCTTCATTAAAATGATGGTTGCAACTACTCCACATTTCTGGTCCCCTCCAGCTGTTTTGGATTTAAAAGCAAAGAGGGCCAATCTGGAACTGAAGAGGAAGACAACTGTAGCCAAAAGACAGGCCAGACTCAAAGTTATGCTATCAGCTCAACTAGCTAGATAGAAGCATAGAGAAGCAATGCTGATCAAAGGAAAGGGAACAAAGAGAAAGTCCAATTAGAGGTGAAGCATTGTGGCTGTTTTCCTGTCTGTTAAGCAGGGTTTATTTGTTGTTTTTGTTTGTTTGTTTGTTTTATTTTTTAAATGTGAAATCCTTTGCCCGAGAGCATTCTCATGGTGCTTTTTATTATTATTTTTTGTCAAACAATAAAACTATCATGCAGACTCACCTTGAAAAATCACTTTTGATTACTTTACTCTGCTAAAGCTTCAAGGGGGCATTGCCAATTTAATTCCCATCGGGGCGCTGCGCGGACTGCGGCGGGTGCTTAGGCAACCCCTGTACCCCTGGCTACTTTTCAGATTTTTTTTTCAGAGGGGAATATCATGCCTGTTGTTAGTCACCAGGATAACTCTCCCCAAAATGAACAGAGATACAAAAAGGAGGAGGAGGAGAAGGAGGAGGAGAAGGATCAAATTTGGAAATAGGAAGGATCCAACCAGGAACTGTAGAGAAAAAGTTCCAAATGAATTAAAAAAAATGCTTCCTTGTAGGGAAAAGAGTTGACTCAGAATTTATATACTGTCTGCCTCTTCCCTCTGATCATTTGACTGAGAATGCAGTCTAAAGTGGTTTTTTTTTTACTGAATATAGAGTATTTTTTTACAGCAATAATTGCGAAGAGAATAAAACCTGAGTTATATTCCAATCAATCTAGATTTGCTTCAAAGAGATATAATCACATTCTGCCAAGACTTGCTGGTTCAAATTATTTTAATAATTATTAAAAATAGGATATTAATGAGTAGAAAAGACAACTAACTATCTTTATATGGTTTGACAAAAGAAGGAAATTAAATTTAAGAATTTACAAGATTTAAAAAAAAAAGATAGCTTGACAACGCCAAACTTCAAACTGTATGACCAATCCTGTTATGTAAGTTAGCCAGGAGACTAGTTGAGAGAGCAGGATTTCCATATGATTTATATAAACACTTTCAGCTTGATACAGTGTATAACAATCAATAATAATTCAATAAGCAGTAAGTTAAAAGTGTGGAATAGATATAGAAAAAAAATAGCTCAGATTTATCACCTATGGCTTTGCTATTAATCTTGTGTTTTCATGAGGATGAAAATGGAAAGAGAATAGTGAAGGAATAAGAAATTGTAAAAATTATAAGATTTAATTGTCAGTAGGACAAAATTCTATGAGTTTCTGTCTAAAAATTATGCTCAGCACCCAAAATGAAGTAACAAGACTTCAGATTGGGGTGGCTATTGGAACTTTTGAACCAGGTAATAAGTTCCCGGGGAGGACTGTCATTACTTTGAACAGCTGCTAAGCAACTGGTCTAAATCAAGAATACTTCTGTGCTGATTGAGTGATATATTTAAAACACCATTTGGGCACCTACTTATTCTGCCATGTGTAAAGCAACAAAGTTGTGTGCAGTCACTAAATTTGGTGACAATGTTAGAACTGTGCAAATGGTGCAAATATTAGAACTATCTTGATTGCTATGGTATTATAGTTTGCCATCATCATTAATGTGATACTTTTTAAAAATTAGAGGATATATGCCACTTTGAAGAACCTGGTTTTGCCCTTTTAAAAATGTGAGTAGCAAAATCTGGAAATAAAATGAGATGTAAATATTTAACTTATTAAATTAAATAACTTAATATTTAATGAAGCTAAACATTTTTTCTGAGTGAAGACAGTGTGTTTAAAGTGTGGAAAGTCCAAAAGGTGAACTTTCTTGTTCTGAACTTCTAATTATAAATAAATTCCCCTGAGCTTTATTTTTTCAACATTATTTCATCATTTTACTGAAATCAGTGACTGGGTGAATGCAACCAACTTGGAAGCCAGTAATAAATACCTGATTTCAGGTATGAGGAAGCTGTAGAATCATTTCGCACTTCTCTAAATATCTCATTATGCAAAGTGAGTGGATTTTCTCTTATGCAAAAACTGGTTGGTTTTAAGAATCTGCCTTCATATTAAATTGAGAGATTGATCCGAAGTGGAGAGGGGGAACATAAGAATTAGACTGAGGTCTGGGTTACTTCTTTCCAAAAGGCCAGATGATGTCCCTGTATAGGATTGCTTTCTCCTTTAAAGTTACACACACTGGAAAGCAGTTAGTTTCTGGAGAGGAATTATCTTGGTATTTGGTAACACATGAAATAAGGGTTCCTGAATAGGCTGCTCTATCTGCTTCTTTGACATTGGAAAAGGTGGGAAATGTGCAAAGTTCTAAGAAATTGTTGCTTCCCAAAACTGTGAAAAACTTTAATGGTTTCTGGGAAGCCAGTTGAGAAGCAGTTTGATGTAATGATATAAACCACCAAGCTAGACACCCGGGGACGGATGGACAGACGGAAGGATGGACTGTGAGTTCTAGCCCTGTTTAAGTCAAAGTCAGATGGATGGCTCAGGGCCAGTCACTTTATCTCAATCCTAGGAAAAGCAGTGCCAAAAACATTGCATGGACCTGTCCAAGCAGTTGCCAGCAATCAGCAATGACTTGAAGGCATACACACACACACACACATACACACACATACACAGTGGACAGGTAAGATTTTCTGTGTGTCATTATTACAGCCCCTTTACACAATTCTTTTTTTCCCTAAATATAGGCTATTTTCCCTAGTAGAAGATAATTTTCAATCAGAGATTCAAAGAAGCAGTTTTGAATTACCCACGTGATAGGCATATGTGTTCTGCATATAGTGTTAAACAACACACCATCTTTAAATGTAATAAGCAAATGTGCCAGCTCCTGTTTCTTAAGCAAGGTAGTGGTAGATTAATTTAGATTGAAAATTTAACACAGAACAAAAATTAACTTTGGTCCCAAACAAGACTAAATTCCATGCAGTTTGCATAAGCGAAAGTGTTTTCGTTGGCTTCAGATTAAAGTTGTTTTTCAGTGCAAACCCTATGCCTGATTGTCTGAGCCAGGTTGGGAACACAGGGGAGGGAAGTGACAGTCCCATTTCCTCCCATATTAATGTCTTCATATTAATGTGATAGTGTAGAATATGGTTGGCCTTTTACCATGCTCTTTAGCAGTGGAGCTATTCTACTGGTTCAGCCCAGTTCTGACGTACCGGTAGCACCAAAGATCAGTGGAGACCGAATCAGTTCTCGCTGATGAGCTGCTGTTGGGCCCACCTGCCTGCTGGGCTCCCATACTGACCTTTATTCCCTGCTTTTGAAGTGTAGCTGCTTTGCAAGGCACCGCAGATTGCTGTGTCAGCTGTTGAAGCTACAGGGAGAGTGCAGGATTGCAGGAGGTGAGTAGGAAAGCCTCATGCAAAGCGCACCCAGCAAGCCACACCCACCGAACCGATGGGTAAACCTCTTTGCTACCCACCACTGTTCTTTAGTATGTGCTACGTAGCTTCTTACTATATATGGATCAACCTGAATGTATTGGTTACTGATTGAAAAATCTGTTTGGTTAAAGTGATTGCTTGCATATCAGTGTTTTAAGAATACAGAGGTTTCTGAGCATACATTCCAAGTATCACTGTATTGTGTTAATATAAATACAGTTTCTTAGGCTTTGATACTTCATGGAAAGATTATATTTTACCAATTATCATATACAGTTTTCTTATTGCTTGCTTGCTTTGACTGAAATGTGGAAAGTTTATTTAGCTGTATTAAGAGCACTGGTTCTGTGCTATCTATACACAGATCATTCAAGTTAATTTTCCTGTGACAATCTTTACAACAAAAACAACAAACCCTTGGTTTAACATGAAATTTGTTTTCCTGTTTCACATTTCTCCCGCAAAACACCTTGACCATACCAATTAGATTTACAAAATACTTTCTCTTGTGCTCTTGATGGCAAATGAATTAATTATCTAGCTCAGTTGGCAAGTCTCAGCCTTCAACAATGTGTGTACTGTTGAACTGAGAATGAAGTGGAGAAATGCCCAGGCTGGCAGTTTAGCAAAAAGAAGCAAATGGTAGTACAGTTCTTTTTTTTATTACTATCTAGTTTTTGAATCTGAAACTTCTAATTAAGAACAAGTTATGTTATAGCAAAAAGTGTCAAGCAACCTCATGGTTTTTAAACAATTGCTTCTTAAAGAATATTTATACTTGAGTATAATGTGGCCTTGAGGGTGAAAAGGAAGCAAAACCTGTGTTTGCTGCAAAAATGAGTAGCATATAAAGACTGAACACAGATTTATTTTTTTTTGGCTAGTATTTTCAGTGTAATCAAGAGTGGTGTAGTGGCCTAGTGGTGTAGATGCTCCCCTTCCACTCAAATGATTAATCCTTAGGTAGCAGATGTTTCTCTCTCAAGGAGCAAAAAGAAAATACCCATTGCAAACTCCACATAGGCATCAGGAAGGCATCCGGCCAGTAAATGCTCAGCTGCATTCAGTTGCCCTGAATATATTCTAAATTAAGGGATTACAAGGTCGTAAAAGAAAAAAAAATTTTTTTCAGTGTAATCAAGGAAGCAGATGAAGTGCAATGTTTAATAGCCGGAGAGGTGGTTTTTTGAGAAAGTTTACACAATAGGTATTGCTTCAGTTGTCTTGAGAAAATGCTTCTTTGCTGTTGGTTTAGGAGTGGAATTTACAACATCTTCCCACTGCTGCTGTTGTCATCCTGAGTTTATTGTAGAGTCTTGTACCATATTTTTATTTATTTTTATTTAGGTTCAAGACAACTTTGACAAAGTTGAATTCTATAAAATGTGCTGGACTCTGTGTGCCAGAAAAAATCTCACAAAAAAAACCTTACTCCTTACTGATGATGATGCTTTTAAAGTGTGGGTCATCTTCAATTTTCTATCTGAAGACAAATATCCATTAATCATTGTGCCAGAAGAGGTATGAAAGAGTTATTTCTAACATCTTTTTTTTTCTTTCACCCAAGTAGAACTGATGACTTTTTACAGTATTTCTTACATAAAAGAGTAATTTATCTCCACTGGTTTTTAACAGAAAAAAAAAAATCCATCAATTCTGTGTATGTTGGTCCATGCAACAGCATGTATCACTGAAACAGGGCTATTTTTCTCTTAAAAATCAGGCTGATGATAGCAGTACCTCAGATGAGTTTTAAAAGGAGAACAAAGAATCAGTGGTTGCCAATCTTGATGGCTATATTAATTCCAAGCCCAGAGACCTTTCATATCCCGCTAATGGATCTCTTATAAACACTGGATGGCCTTTGGGGAAATATAGCTGAAGTAGACTTAGTCTGTCTGACACACTGTCTGTCAGGAATGCAATAATTTATTAGCTTGAAAACTGCCTTAAAAACATAATTTTTAATGTACCAGTAACTTCCAAAGTTAGTTCAGCATATAGTTTTTGTGTAGTTTTCACTTTTTCTTATTCTGGCCAATATTTTGAGTGGTACAAGAGAGTCGGTTGCATTTAGTGTTTAAGACACTAGACTGGAAACTAGGAGACTGTGAGTTCTAGTGCTGAGGCATGACGCCAGAGGGGGGACTTTGGGACAGTTAGTCTCTCTCAGCCCTCAGAAAAGAGGCAATGGCAAACCATTTTCCAAAACCGTGCCAAGAAAAATGCAGGGGCATGTTCAGGCAATTGCCAGGAATCAAACACTGACCTGAAGGAACACTCAAAAAAAGTGCAGTTGTGCAGTGAGAAAGATTTTAGAGTAATAGTTTTTCCTACACATATTTGTTATATTCATTCAGCTGTTGTGTGTCTTTTCCTGGACAGATTGAATATTTGCTTAAGAAGCTGGCAGAAGCCATGGGATTAGGGTGGCATCAAGAACAGTTTGAACATTACAAGATCAGTTTGGATGCCAATTGGGAAGGTCTCTCTGCTTGGGAACTGATTGAGCTCATTGGAAGTGGTCGGTTTAGCAAAGGGATGGATGGACCAACTGTGTCAATGGGCATTAATGAAGTCTTCAGTGAACTTATATTGGATGTATTAAAACAGGTAAGATCAGCCTACACACAGGCGAACTTGAATGAATTATGCAGCATTATTTATGCCTCATAAAACTATATGGAGACAAAACATTTTTCATTTAGAAAAGCTGCTTTTAGTGAGTACAGTTTATATGAAGGAAAGCTAAAATTCTCAGTATAAAAATAATTAAAATTAATGTAGTTTGAAAGTATTTTTTGTGTTACAAGAAGTTACTTGAGATGGGCAGCTATATAAATTAGATAAACAAATTCTCATTATTTTAATCAACTTCCGCAACTCATAAGAAGTTAAGAACTCTGAATTGAAAAACTTTTGCTGTGTTCTTTGTGAAATGTAATAGATATTCACTGCTAGAAGAGTTTTTGAAATGAAAGTTAAAATTCTAAAAATTCTTCATCTACATCAGTTTGTATTTTATCACGGGGTACAAAATGCACCATAGAACTCCTATACCGGTAATTCAGTGGCACCATTTCTGACTAAAACATTAACAGTTTAACATGGGATTTTTGGCCCATTACCAGACATGGCTCGTGGGAGGTAAACATGCCATGTACATTTTTTTAACCCATAGATTATAATTTTCTATAATGGTAGAATTATAATGGATTATATTAGATATAACCAATCAAAATAGATTTGCTCTCCAAGCATCCTCATAGTTGTTTAAGGGCTAAGCTAACTTACCCCAGGCAACTAAGTCCTCTAATGTCATGCAAACCACTTACTGAGGATTTGACTAGCTTTACTCCCAAGACTGAAATGATATCCTAGATCAGACTTGGGCATTTTATGACCCCTGGGCCATATCCGGCCCTTTGGCTGTCTCTCTCCAGCCCATGTGAGGTCAATCAGAAACTAGAAATCAAATCTAAATAAACACACTCAGGGGACAGAGAAGAAGCCGAGTCAGGCCCCGCTCTGTGCAGTTACCATGTGCTCCTTCACTTGGCTAATGGCCACAGGAGGGCAAGGAAACAAAGCAGTTTTCTGCACCTGTGCAGTGCTTGTCCCTTGCCTGAAGCAACCTGAGGAGGTGGTAGTCATCACATGAGGGAATCCGGGCTTGGCCATCCACTGTCATCTCAGTCAAAGTGTGACCTTATGGGCAAATGGGTGGTTATCAATAGCCTGTTTGCCACAATCTAAGCAGTAATGTGGTGATAAGTATCTTAAAAGCAAAGAGAACAAAGTTTTGTAGAGCTTGAATTCTACAAAAAAAAGTATAAACTTATTTTGCAGTTGTCTGCGGTGTCTCAGATTTGAATATGACATGAAACGTGGAGCATATGAGGGCATAAAGAGGAAGTGTAAATCTCAGAAGTCCAGGTGCATGGCTAGGAAGGGGGAAGGATGGGAAAGGTTTGTTTAAATCACATGTCAATTGTGGTTTGCTTTTAATGCAACCAAGTCCCCTAAGGATTGCTTGCACATCTGACCCAGTTCTGTCAGGAAATTTACTAATATTCCCCAAAGTATAATTTTCTTTGTAAGGCATTGAGATTAAATCTCTTTTGAGCACAGCACAAGCTTCTGATTACTGATAAGATAGATCACAATGCCTCATGCAATCACATTACATTGCTGCCTGAAGCTCCGATATTGTATGCTAAAGTATTTTTTTTTTAAATGCCTCATTTGCCTTTCAAGAAAGTTTTTAGGAAAGTTGTCAAACTGTTGCAATTGATCTAACATGCTTAGCTTAAATCTAGTTTTCTTTAAACTTAATTCACTGCTTTGCAGAGGTTCAGCAGTATTTGGATTGTGCTTTGTTATAAGGATAGTGCATCCTTCTTACAGTAAAGCATTGGAGAGTTTTTCTCTTTAAAAATATAAAATGTGTGTTTGTTGTGTTTGGTGAATTGGCACTACAATTCAGATTTCTAAAAACGGGTAAAAGAGAAAGGTACAATAGTAAGGAAACTGATTAAGTTAAGGTTCATAAATGTTTAACTGAAACTTGTGGGTTGCCCAAAATGAATAACTTTCTGAAAGGCAAATAGGATAGAATACCTGTCTGTCTGTGATGAACCATAATAATAAAGAGGCAGAGCCTCTCAACTCTTGCTTTAGTTGGGTCTTCTTCAGCAAAACTTTTTGTAGTATGTCAGAACATTGTGAAGATCAGAACTGAAGGATCTTGAGACTGGCAGAACAATGGATGGTGATATTTATATGTTTGAAATGAATGTAAATATCCAGGACCAGATAAATGGTATCCTAGGATATTAAAGGAATTAATCTAACCAAGCTCCTATGCAGTATCATTGAGGCATCCTGAAGGATTTGTGAATTGTCAGGGGTTTGGAAGATAGCAAGCAGTGTTTCCAACTTCAGAAAGGAGAAAAGGGAAGAGTTAGCTGATTGTATGCTAGTCAGTCTGTCATTGGTACCTGGGAGAGCTAGGTATCTGGTTTCCCACCCAGACATTAGGGTCCCATAGTAGATAAGCTTATTTAGTGCGGTGGTTGTCTGTTTATTTGGTTTTGCTGTATGCATACAATGTTCCTTTATTTTTCTTTATGTTTAACCAGTATTGTGGTTATGTTATTGATTTAACATGCAAAGGTCTATTAGGATACAAAAATCATATGCATGCATGTACTGTAGAACCTGAGATATGTGAAAAATATCTTGGAGTAGTATAGGTAGTCCTCATGACCAGATGTCTTGTTTAATGACTGTTTGAAGTTACAGTGGTGTAAAAACAATAGCTTTGCCACGTCTCCTCACATTTATGAGTGTTATAGTACTTTGTGGTCAAGCGATCACCATTTTTGTGCTTCCCAAAAGAATTCTGATAAGCAGAGTTAATGGAGAATGAGGAAGTAAAATTTCAAGTTGCAATCATGTGATGTCTTGCTTAACAACTCACATAATAAGCAAATGGGAAGTGACGTTATAAGTCTGTCACAGTCACATGGTTTTTCACTAAGCGATCACAGCATTTAGCAATGGATTTGCTGGTCCCAATTGGGGTCACTAAGCCAGGACTATCTATAATGGATTGTAAACTATGAATCAACAATGTAAGGTGGCTTGAAACAAAAAAATACAATTTCAGGCTGCATCGATAGAAGTAATCTTTCCACCCTATTCTATTTATACCTCATCTTGAGTACTGTGTCCAGTTCTGAACACCACACTTTAAGGAGGATTTGAAAAAAAACTGGCACATATTTAGAGAAGGGCAATGAAGATGTTCAGGGGACTAAAAACTGTAACCTATAAATAGTGATTGAAAATTCTGGGCTAGTTTAGCTGTCTTTCTCTGGATATGTGAATGAATGTCAAATACTGTAGAAGACATCTGTTCAAGAATATAGGACATGAAAAAATGAATTTAATTTACTGGAAGGCAGATTCTGCTTGAATGTTAGGGAAGGAAGAAGTCTCTTAACAATAAGAAGTGTTTGACAATAGAACTGATTATCCAGGAGGATGGTGGAACTCCCTTTTATCAAATTAGTTCAGGTGGAGGCTGCATGGCCATTTTTCTGGGATGCTGGAACTTGGATTCCTTTACAATTAGGCTGTTGGCTTTGATGCTTAAGTAGTCATTTCCAAATCTGTGGTTCTAATGTGAGTTCTCTTTCATATTGCAACATTTTAAGAAAGATAAACAACCTGGTAGGTATTCATGCAGAGGTGGTATTCAGCAGATTCTGACCAGTTCTGGAGAACCGGTAGCGGAAATTTTGAATAGTTCGGAGAACTGGCAAATACTACCTCTGACTGGAGATTTTACAGTATCCTTCCCCTGCCACAGCCACCAAGCCACGCCCACAGAACTGGTAGTAAAAAAAAATATGAATCCCACCACTGTATTTATGTTAATAAAATTAGTAGGCAGCCAAAGGTTCAAGGGGTGATTCATAGCATTTTCAGTCTTTAGTGTCTAGTAAATCATTTCATGTTAAATAATAGAATGATCTATCTTTAAATGTGAATTTCTTTCTGTCTCACACCATTTAAATAGTTTACAAAGTGGATAATCATTTCTAACAGGTATGTACTACTATCTTTTAACATTTCAACAGTTATTTGATACTGAATGATAGACGATGATAATTTGTGCCTTTCAAACACCATTTTTTTTTACATCAAGTAATCGAGCAGGCCCCCCAACCTTTTGGGCACCAGGGACTGGTACCATGTAGAGAGGTTTTTCCATGGACTGGAGGGGGCCTGTTTACATGCTGCCTGCATCCCGCAAATGGGGCTTTGCTTATTTGCACAGCCCGGTTTCTGGCATGCTGCGGACAGGTGCCAGTCAATGGATCGGGGGTTGGGGACTCTGATGTAATCAGTTTAAATATATGTTTTAGATGCTAAACATTGTTTACATTTTAAATGAAGTTCCAGTAGAGAATGGAAGGAAGGATGCATATTGCATATCTCGCTACTAGGCTTGACCTTCTGTGCTTTAGAATCAGGTGAGAGTGGAGCAATTAAGGAATTGCTTAAGAAATATTGTAGTTCACCATACAGGATTTTATATTCAGCCCACATAGATAAAACATTCATGTTATGGTTTTACCTGTGTTTGCCACTATCTGGGTGAGGCATAAGGAGGCAGGTTTATGCAAAAGCCTTGTTTCCATGACATCCCGAGAGATTCTATGGTAATCCTAAGCTGTATTAACAGAGGAATGCAGTCAAAATCAAGGGAAGTACTAATACCACTCTATAAAGCCTTAGTAAGACCACACCTAGAGTATCGCATCCAGTTTTGGTCACCACATTATAAAAAAGATGTTGAGACTTTAGAAAAAGTACAGAGAAGAACAACCAGGATGATTAGAGGACTGGAGGCTAAAACATACAATGAAAAGTTGCAGGAACTGGGCTTAGCTAGTCTGGCGAAGAGAAGGACCAGGGGAGACATGATAGCGGTCTTCCAATATTTGAGGGGCTGTCACAGGGAGGAAGGGGTCAAGCTATTTTCTAAAGCGCCTGTAGGCCAGACAAGGAATAATGGATGGAAACTGAACAAGGAGAGATTTAATCTGGAAATAAGGAGAAACTTTCTGACCGTGAGAACAATCAACCAATGGAACAGCTTGCCCTTGGAAGTTGTGGAAACGCCATCACTTGAGACTTTCAAGAAGAGATTGGACTGCCATTTGTCAGAAATGGTGTAGGGTCTCCCACTTGGGCGGGGGGTTGAACTAGATGACCTACAAGGTCCCTTCCAACTCTGATTATCTGTATCTGTATAATTCTGAATTGTTTGAAGTTGTAGCCAGGAGCCTTGTAGCTATATGCTTTTCCCCCTATACATTTCTTTCAAGCAATCCTGATTTGAGGCTTCGTAATTCCCATTTTTTTCAAAACATGAGCATTGTACAGGTCCTGTACTAATGTTACTACTTTATATAGGGTTTATAATTTAATTTTTGCTACTTTGTAGTTTTCAGATGGAAATTTATAATTATCTTCCTTATTTTCTAATCCCTGGAATTTGATGGAAGAATGTAATGAATCCTTTTCCATGTTCAACATTCTGCTGTTTACCACTTTATACTTGATAACTGGAATGGTTTTTCAAATGAACAGAAGTTGGGAGGTGGGATTTAAAAGATATAATAGAAGGGCCCAATCAACTGGTCAAAAGAACTTTACAACCAGTGAATTCACACCTGGTCGGGAAACCAGAATAAGTCTGATTAAAATCTCTTGAAATTAATTGTGTCTGGAACTGGGATCAGAATTTAAACATTCCAAGTTAAAATAATGTAATAAAGGAATTATTTCATTGTTTTTATAGGGTTATATGTGGAAGAAGGGTCACAAAAGAAAAAACTGGACAGAACGTTGGTTTGTTTTAAAACCAAATGCTATATCGTACTATGTTAGTGAAGATTTAAAAGACAAAAGAGGAGATATTGCACTGGATGGCAACTGTACTGTAGAGGTAAAACATAAATAAATGATTAGAAAGTAATACTTTTCTAGATGATGAATATGAAAATTATTTAACTTACATATATTTGATTCAACGTGTTGGATAAATTCTGGAATTTTTATTTTCATAGAGAATACAATGGAGTGCTAATAATAGTGTTCATATAAAGAGGGAAGAAATCTTTATTTCTTGAAATGTCCATTCAGGATCCTTTCTTAATTTATGGAATTCGTTAACTAGTGAAAAAGAGTAGCATTCTATAAAGACTGTGGAGCTGGGCTTTTTTCTCTGACATGGCTAGAAAAAATTGCACACTTTATTTTAATTTATGTCTGTTCCTGCAAAGACTACAATAGAAGTGCAAATAGATCTTGCAAATATAATTCAGAATAAAATACTTTCCTTGTGAACAACATTGATCAACACCATTTTTATCTTAATATCATGGGTGTTCTAAAATGCAGATCACTCAAATATTTTCTGTGAATACGATTATCTATGGCACATTTTGTTCCATGCCACTGGGAGAAAATTTGTAAAAAAAAAAAGAAAGGATTTTTTTTTTGCCCCAAATGTGCCTTGTTACCTTGCTTTAGGGAGGAAAAAAGTGATATAACATTCATTCATGTTTAACTTTTGTGCATGGGAATATTATTGTTGGGATATTTCATATGTTCATAGGCTCTGAAGTAAGAAACAATATTGTGAATGTCAGTTCAATGTCATATTTGCTATGCTTCATAGGAAACTAAATTTAATTTTCTCTTTTTAGGGCTTGCCTGACAAAGATGGCAAAAAATGTCTCTTTCTTATAAATAATTTAGAGAAATGTTTTGAAATTAGTGCCTCCGATAAGAAGAAGAAACAGGAGTGGATTCAAGGTAAACTTTTACTGTTTTGCTTGATAGATAGAAGCCAGTGGGGAAGCTTGCAAATTCTGTTTTTCTATTCACTGCTTAATGGACCCTCTAGTTTGTGTGCCTGTTGTGAAGTCTTGTCAATCTGACTTTTAATAAGATAAAAGCTTCAGCCCAATGAAGAGATTGGACAACCATCTGCCTGAAATGGCATAGGCTCCCCTGCCTGAGCAGGAAGTAGGACTAGGCGACTTGCAACGTCCCTTCCAGCTCTGTTATTCTGAATTAGATAATTATCTAATCTAACTACTATTTCTGTTTCTCTCTTCTGGCCAAATGTTTTGGTTCTGTGTTATATATCTGATTGTACATCTGACTGGTTTTATCACAGATAACCCCCCCTTTGCAGTGGTTATGCAGAAAAAAATATTTCATTGTATGGAGACCTAGCATTATTACAAACTATAAATTGTATTTGATATTAACTGTTTTCATTCTGGTATTTCACATGCTATAATTATATAACACTATTACATTATTGATACTGATACACTATGGGGTTTTTTGGCAGAGAAATGTGGTTTTATTTTTAAAATTATTGGTGGCCTAATGTTAGAAACCAAACAGCATTGTAAGACTGAAAAAGTCATAAAGGTATTTATGGGCTTAAACTAGAAATATTATTGTGGCTATTCTCATCATTTAGCCATTCAGACAACAATAAATCTGCTGAAATTAAAAAGCCCTTCACCTCATAAAGAGGCAAGACAGAAACGGAAAGAATTACGCCAAAAACTGCAGGCGGAACAAGCAGAATTGGAGAGGCAAATGAAAGAGCTCCAAATAGCAAATGAAAATAAGCAGAAAGAACTGGAAACTGTCAGAAAGGTAAATCTGAGATTTTGTAACATTCTAGAATGTAGGGTTAATAACTTTAATTGTAAACTATATTTCTGAGGCCAGGGATTTGAAAGTCATTGTTCTTAGTTCTTATTCTTGGTTGATGGTGTTCTTAAAAATATCTTGTCCTTTTAGATAGTAGGGTCTTCTGATTTTGCTTCAGACTCACTTTGTTCACGCAGCAGAACTGTCAATGTATGATGCCATGAGGAGGTTGTGCTTCAGCCAGCTCACTGCAGAATCTGACATTGATTAGGATTGAGAGGGATTGACTGGCCCAAGGCCTCATGACTGGCTTCTATAGCTAAGGGAAAACTAGAACCAGCCTATCCATTCCTTGTCCAGTAGCTTAACCACTACACTATGGTTTATGTCTATAGCAATGTATGTATTCATATATGAAAATAATATAGTGTACTGTCCTAGGAAAGTGCCTTAAACATAATTGTCTAAAATCAAGTCTTCAGGGCATTAAGAAAGCAGAACAGATTGGTGAAGTTCCTTCTTAAGATATCTGTTACAGCATTGCCGCAGAGAATTGGTAATGTTGCATCATTCTTCCTAAATGTACCTGGAAGTGTTATGTTATGGAAAACTGAGTAGGAGAAATTGTTTGTCCCCACAAAGACTGGGGATGAATATAGATGTTTTACTGGATTTAAAGAAAGAGTTGTTAGAAGAAAAATGCTATGTACGGAAACCACAAAAGTTCTCATTTGGAATGATAACACAGCGAAGTTTTTCCCAATAATTTGCACATTGCTTATCTTAGTTGTTTTACAGTCAAGGAGAGATTTCTTTGGTGACGCCAGGCACTCACTTCAGCTTGAAATAATTTTGCAGACTAAAGAAATGATAAGAGTGTCTGTTTCCCTTCCCCCAGTCCTAATTGCTTTCATAGGCATGAGTATTTTATGCCTATGAAAGCATAACCGTCTTTAAATAATAACTAAGATGCCAGATCTTCATTGGCAGCTTTGATCATTGCAGAATTGTTAGGATATTTCACAGCTAAAATTTGACACATGCACATCTAAAATATCTTTAATAATGATTGTAGAATGAGATATATTTTTACATCTGAGCTTTCAGTGTAAAATGAAATGAGCATTCAAGCAAAGAATAAATATACAAGAGCAGAACACAGCATGTAAAAGCTATTCTTTATATAATTCAGCCTGATTCTAAAGGAAAAGTTCCAGTATTAGTCAACTAATAAATCCAAGAAAACTGAGAATACTTATGAAACGAGGCAGGAGTACTGTATCGCTCTGAAGTTCTGGAAAAACATACTGTGATAGATGCAGAATTGGGGTATTTCACACTGATGGTGGCTGGCTATATTTTTTTAAGCAGCATAGCAACCTAACAAAACCAAGAATTATTTCAAATTTGTTGAATCTGTGTGTTAATTCAAACCTAAAGTTCAGTTGTTGATAGAAAGAAATGCCAGTTCAGCCAAGCCAAATTACCTGAGTCATTGAAATGTGCCTTCCTAACAGCAGACTGAGAGAATTAGGAGCCAATAGTGGTGCTACTGTAAGCATTAAATGTTGCACAAGTGCTCCTTTATACTACTTCCTTGTTTTTGTTTAACCAAACCATTCAGAAACTTCTAATTAGGCGTGCCTCAAAATATATGGAGATTACTTTACTAGAGAATTTCACTTCCCAAATTTCTCATACTTCTTGTGCAACAAAATATTATAATTTACGTACTTTGACAGAGTAAATTGGAGCTAGAAGGAACAGGTTTTGCATGAGTGTTGACTCTGCTATTTTGGGAAATGCTTATCTTATCTCCAGCTCTACAGAAACCTATGTAGAGTTTAATCTTTCACCAACTTTTTATTGTTTATGCAGCATTTAAGAGCTGATACGGATTGATCTTTTCAGAATGTTTTGCATGAAGCCTCAGGGAAGACTTGGACTACCCCTTTTTGATGCACATCATTTCTTTCTTTTTAATTTTGAATATATACCGGTATATATTTCCCTTTGATAAAATTTTTGCTTTTATCAAAAAATGTTAGAAGTATGTTTATAGGTACATACTAAATAGTTGACCTGTACTTTCACGTGTACATTAACTGGAAACAGATGATAATTGTTTTTCTTTCTTTGGCCAGCAACTTGATGAAGCAGCCGCTCGAGCGTCAGAAGAAGAGACAAAACGTCTGCAGACTCAGATGGAATTACAAGATCGATTCAAGCTTGAACTGGAGAGAGAAAAAATGGTACATGTCAGCAAAAGAATGGGCTAGCTGTGACATGGTTTCTTTAATGATATATTTAAGCATGTGCATGTTTGGACAAAAAGGAAAAGCTGCAAAGGTTCTTCTTCTCTCTCATGGAAATAGGCAGCACTGTTTATCCTGAAGGATAATGAAGCATTCATTCATTTCTTGTTTTCTAGGTAAGACAGAAAATGGAAGAACAGGTTGCTCAGAAATCATCTGAGCTTGAGCAGTATTTACTGAGAGTCAAAGAACTTGAGGAGATGTATAATCAACTGCAGGAAGCTTTGGAGGATGAGAAACAAGCCCGTCAAGATGAGGAAACTGTCAGGAGACTTCAGGCCAGGTCAGTGTGTAATTTGATAGGATGCTAAGGCCGGCAGTCATTTTATGTTTCAGAAGGAAGGATAGCAGAGACATATAGAAACTGTAGACTGCCCAAGTAACCTAAATATCACTGCAATACTGGCAAATATTGGGTGTAGGATGAGGGTGAAGGTTTGTTTTCCGAGCTTGTGGGTTGGTTTCCGAACATTTTGTTCTGAAACGTTTGGAAACCAACCCATAAGCTCAGAGAATGAAACTTCACCCCTAAATAGCATTGTTACATTTAAAAAGAGTTATCTGTCCTTGAATCATTCTGAAAGATAGTTTCCCTCTCTCTGCTTCTCAGCATATTATAGTACCACAGAGATGTAAACAAAATATGTCATGTGGAATTGTTTGTAGATCAATAAGTTGAAGCAAATATATTAAGCACATTTAACAGAAATATTAATAGTCCTTGACTTATGACTCTTCATTTAACTATGGTTCAAAGTAACAAAAGCCTTGGAAAAGGATTTACCACCCATCCTTGAAGTTATGACCGTCTTATCTCCTTCATGTTCACGTGATCATAATTTAGATGCTTGGCAACTGGCTTACATTTATGACAGTTGCAGAATCATATGATCACAATTGCGATTTATGAGCTTCCCAGATGACTTCTGACAAGCAAAGTCAATTGGGGAAGCTGAATTCAGTTAACCGCCATATGATTCAATTAACCACATGATTTGCTTAATGACCATGGCAAACCTCATAAAGTTGGGTCCAGTTGCATAATGACTTGGTTTATGACCACGTTGTTTAGCAACCAAAATTCTAGTCCCATCTATGGTCATAAGTCAAAGGCCACCTGTAGATGCTAAATGGGGTAATGAAAAAGGAAACCACCTACCTTATGTGTGGGATGCTTTCATTTCTGAATGTGGTATCTTGATGGACTTGTAGCACAAAAACAAGCAATTTCTGTGGAACTGTTTTAGGGTATGTTTTCTTAACTATTCAATTCATGTGGGGAAAGGCATACATCGTGTATCAGTCCTGAATTAATATACCTCCTTTGTTACTTTTTTTTTTCTAGACTGCTAGAAGAAGAGACAACCAAGAGAGCAGAACTGGAAAAGTGGCATTTAGAGCAGCAACAGGCCATTCAGGTGACTGAGGCAGAAAAGCAAGAGTTGGAAAACCAGAGGAAAATGAAGGAACACGCTTTACAGGTCGCCATGCAACAGTTGGAAGAACTGGAATTAGAGAGGAGGCAAGCCTTTGAACAATATGAGGTGAGCTAATGTAGCTTTTCTAGGGTTATACTATAAAGTATATGAAGGGATTGTTAATGTCATTGCCCAGAAGATCATTGGTTGGAAGAGCTTTATAGCTCCTGCTGCCTTAAGAAAGTTCAAAACATTCTCAAAGATCCATCTCATCCCGGGAACCCTTTTTTGAACTATTATCATCTGGCAGACGGTACAGAGTAATAAAAACAAGGACAAATAGGCTGAAAAACAGCTTCTATCTCAGGGCAGCAGCTCTTTTGAATTCTACTGTATAGTGCAGTGTTGGTGCGGTGTTGGGGATGTTCGGTTCAATGTGTGGAGGGTGAAGGATGTGTGTTTATGTTTATTTTCATGATCATGGTCATGATGTGCACTGAAGATAGTGTTTGATTTTGTTGTATGAGGTGCAATGACAAAAAAGTAAACTAAACTAAAACTGAAGCATTCTTCGTCGAAGGGTGAAGGCAGTTGCATTCCTCAGAAGGCTCAGTGTGGATGCTGTAAAGCTTTCCCAAGTCATCTCCATAAGCATGTGTGCATAACAGCTTGTCATCAGTCACCCAAATGTGTTCAAGTGTTGGTAACCGGGGTATCTAAATCATTTGATTTATGCCTTCTTCAAGACACCAGGCTGTAGTGTCTCTGACCACTTCACAGAGTTGAATCATTTCTTATTGGGCATTTATGATCGTACTTTATACGCAGCCATCATAGCAGACCTCAACTGAAAATTATCTGTAGAGATTTACCAGGATAAAATATTGTATCAGTTTGGTACAATAATAAAACGAGCCGAGATGGATCAAAGATAATTGTAGCTAAAAGCCATATCAGGAATAGATTTACAGTAGGCATTTGATGAAAATTGGAAAAGTTATTGTAGCTAAGAAGCCATACTTATAGGGCTATACAGTATAGTTATGTCCTAGTAACTTATGGGTAACTTAGCAGCAGCTAAGATTGACTCTGGCTACTGTGAATAGATGCTTTACAAATGTTTGCAATTGTGTACTCCTTCATGTGCTGACCTTGGCTGATCCTTGCTCACATCCAGTTAAAGTCCAGCCTTTTGTGATCTTGTGGAGAGGTGTTCTTTTTGTGCTGTTTTGAGAATCTCTGTTGTAAAAAAAAAAAAAGTTTCCGTATAATGTTGGTGATAATTCTGTTTCAGGAGGTAAAGAAGAAATTGGAAGTAGCAGCAAGTAAAACTAAAAGTTGGAAAGATAGAGTAGCTCATCATGAGGGATTAATTCGATTAATCGAACCAGGTAGGAAACAATCCTTTATTTTGTGAATCAGCATTCATGCTGTTATTTTTATCTTAAGTAACCCATTATGGTTTCCAAGAAGTCTGAATATTACTGAGTCAGCCTAGGCTGCACTTCCCGTTTAGTGTGTGCTATTGTCTGGAGAAACGTAGCTGAACCAAGCTCCAAACAGAAGAAAGGAAGTCAGTGCAAACACTGCCAGCTGAGATTTTTAGGTGCCTTCAAGTCAAATTTCTCATTCACCTCATCATGACATAAACCTCTGTTGACCTTTGTTCTTGAAGTTTATTTACAGCATTTATATTATTTTGAATATTCTGCCTTTATTTATTATTGTCCAATTGTAAGTGCTCTATGAAAGATGCATTTATGTTGCATCCAGAACAGAATAATGTATACTTTCTCCTTTATGGGAGCTGAGCTTCTGAAGGATATTTCTTATGGTTTATGTTCAAAGAACAAATGAAGTTCAGTTTCAGGTTTTTAATGGAATTCAACCAAGCAAATGTGTGTTAATCAACCACTGAGTTAATCTATAAAGAATATAAGCTGCTGGTTCAACAGGAAATTTTCAGTCAAATGAATTATGTTATTGTAGATGACATTAAAGTGCAATATGAACATTATTGTCTGTAAGTATAAATTTATCAGAAAAGATAATGAAATGCTCTTGAGAGGAGCTTTGACATGTCACCACTACCCAATGTTTTAGTAGTTATTTTAAATTTAAGTTAAGATGCTAGGAGTAAATATTTTCTGTAGTGTAGATTACAATATGAAATTGAAAATGGACAGCATGGAAACATTGGACTGATAGTGATTTGTCATAACATAGAATGCTGTGCAAACTTTGAATAAGGTATTTTTTTACATATAAAAGATAGTTGAAGAATCAATTTAGATATGTCACTTATACGTAGTTTTGCATCCAACCTGATTGATGGGGTCCCAAATGGTCACAGTGGTACCAACAGCCTAACTTTACCAATGGCTCAACAACTTTCTCTGAAGGTTACTTTGAACAAAGTATATTTAATGTCTAATTGAAGCTGTTAAATGACATTGCTTAAATGACATGGAACTCCAAATATAAATGCTTTTCTGTGCCTACTTGCAACTCAGGAACTTTAGAAGGAAGTCGTCTCACTTAAAATTCGTTAAGGAAAGTGCATTATATAGTAAAGGAAAGAGAGGAGTCAAGATAGACAGACTTCTTTTAATGGTGCTTTACTTTTAGAATATTCTCAAACTTCCATAGTAATAAAATTGATAGTGGCATTATGGTATTTTTGGTACTAAGTCAAAATGTATTCATTTGTAAATTCACATTTGGCTGAACCAGTTTATTAATATTATTTGGTTTATTTATAATATATTCATTTTATTTGTTTATTTCAAATCATCTTGTTATACATAAGGATGAAAGGCATTTTAAAAATATTTTTATTTAAATGCTTTTGATTGGATGCATTTTTAATATATTTTCCTCAGCTATATTGTCACATGACTAATGGTAAAGCAAAGTTAGAACTAGATTTGACACATGGAATAAATTAGGCTTAAATGACTAAATCTAAAATATTATTTCTTATAGGTTCCAAGAATTCCTATTTGATCACTAACTGGGGACCGGCGGCCTTCACTGAAGCTGAACTTGAGCAAAGAGAGAAGAGCTGGAAAGGGAAAAGGGGCACTTCTGATTAGCAAATGTGGCTGAAATATAACTGGGGACCGCACAGAGCAGGAATCTGATAATTAAATAAATTATTGTTACACCAATTTATTGCATATACTGCACTCTAGCTCAAGATACTTCAGGAATTTGAATACAAAATACAAGTTCTACCGCACAACATGAATTATAACAGAATTTCTGAGAGAGCTAAACAAAAGTTTACATAAACTATCTGAATAATTGTGTGCAGTTTATGAAAATGTGAATGTTGCAATTTGAAGTGTGTTCTTTTTAATTTGGAATTGGATGAGTTGAATGAACTAGAACACATTGGAAATATGGTGAGCTTTTTTACCCATATTGTTGACCTATGTTGATTAGAAAACCATGAACATACCCACCTACTTTTACTATATCTGGGGCAATAAAAACTTATGTAAACAGTAGGGAGATTGTTGTCTTTGGTAAATCCAGGCCCAAGATACATGGATAAACATAGCAATTTTGACCAATATATCAGTATATTAATGGCACAGTATATTAGTGTATGACTGAAATACTTTTTCCATATAAATACAGAATATATTCTCAAGTAGTAATTTTGGAATCTTAATAATTCTTTAGGAAGAAAAGAAAGGAAGAAAAAGAAAGAAAAATTTGAACACCCCACAGCCTCCTTTTGATTTTTTTTATCATTACACTAATAGCCTGAAGACAGATAGCTGAATATCATTTTTGATTTTGTTGAGAGTTGGTTAGGATCTTGATCCAGAAATTCATAGTCTAATCTTGGCTATGTGAACATATTTGTTCTGTGAAAATATGAATAGCGTGATCCATTGGGTCAACCAATTGATTACAACTGATTCAAATTAATAATCTACCCTTGTTCACTAAATTTCTTTAATTTTGTATATAGTCCAAATACAACTAATAATTGCTAAATTATTTTGCAAGTAAATGTAGCATTAATATATTAGACTTAAAAGTAATGAAGTTTATAATATTATCCGTAGATTCTCTATAGCTCAGTTATTTCCAAAATAAAATATTACTTTGAAAAAGATCAGCTAATCGTTGAAGTCATTAGGACAGGGGTGTCAAACTCAGGGCCTGCAGGCCAGATGTGTCACATGCTGGCCCCCCCCCCCCCCCCCCCCCGTTTAGCAGAGGGGAAAAAAATGACCCAATACATCATGTGACACTGCTGTCACAATGTGAGTTTGGCACCCCTGCATTAGGGGAATCCTGCAAATGCTGTCAAATAAGTGCCCATTCATTTAATTAAAAAATATGGAACTCTCACATAAGTCGACTTGAAATTAGGAAAATGTGCAGCTTGAATACTGCTGATTGGGTGGGAAGCTTCAAAATTTGGCCCTTTTTAAGAGAAGAAGCTGATAGGTAGGCAAAATCCATCTCAAACATTCCCAGGAGGAAGGAAACCTGGATTATTTGTTTTTGTTTTTAAACTGTATTGCAGTTTTATTAATGAAATTTGGTGTTTTTTGTAAAAAAATGTGCCTAGAAAGGTAAGATACGAAATAGTGAAATAACTTTCAACATAAGAAATGAGCAACTATAGATGATTACAACAGTGTTAGCTTCTTTGTGTAGTTTCTTTTTTTAGGCGTGATATTGTATCAGTTCATGGAACTGCCATGAGTCTTGTCACTGAAGCAATGATACCAGCACATGTCAAAGGAAAAACTATTGTCTAAGCCTTGGGGTTTCCACAAAGAATGGAAATAGGCCCCCTCACATTGATGGAAATAATTTCTATATATGCAAATAGCCTGTCAGAATTGGCATCTGGAAGTTGGACTGTTTTATGGAGCTATATCAAAGGGAGGCATCACTGAAGATTATCAAAGTGAAGCATCAAATTGAGGCTTTGCACAAGTCTTCCTTTTTATTTTGTTGCGTTTTACTAACTGAAAAGTGTTTATAAAATAACTTCAACCTGTTTAATGAGTATTATAGTTTAATACTAAGTTTTCTTAAATGTGTAGTTACTGTACAGTAATCATGACTTTTTATGCTGTTGATATATAAACATTCTAGTTGGATAGGAACCAACAATACTGTACTAGAAGCGTATTCTGGTATATCCTGAGAAACCAGTTGAGATATATTTATAATACCAAAACTACCAAATCATTACTGTTAATTTACATTTAAAAACTATTTGTTGTGCTAATTGCAAATGGACCAAATTAAGAAATTGCCAGTTTTTCATGTGTTCCATTTTGTGTTTGCTTTAGTATTTGTTAAAATAAACAAGAATAATTTTAGTATTTGCACGTTTATTTCATCTTATGTTTGGCTTTGAGTTGGATAGAATGGATTATTAAATAGAAATTTAAATATTTTTTTCTTGTTACAACCACACTTTCTCTTTATTTATGATACTTAATATTCTTGTAGGAAAGGGATGCCTGATAGCATAGGCTAATATTCAGTGGGAAAATATTTATTTTTGATGGTGCCTTTTTCTACAGCTTTTGGTAAAAGTGAGCTCTATGATATATTAAGCCACTATAGAATTTAACACTCCCCTTTTTTGCTTAAAACCCTACCAAATATCCTCTAACAGGAAACCCCCCCCCCCCCCCCAAAAAAAAAAACAAAGTGGGGAAATCAGCTTTAAAAAGTATGCCTTTTGGAGTAACTTCACTACTGTGTTCTTGTGCCCTCAGAACTCATTTAAAAATGCCCGGATCCTAATGACAAAAAGTATCCCTCCCTGTTGTAAGATATGTAAGAGTTGTGTTGATAGATTGAGATACATATGTACTTTCTCATTAAAGGACACGAATGAACAGATATCAAAATAACTCAGCCTGTATAATATGGATTCCCATGATTTCAGTCCTTAATTCACAGAGGCATTTTGTGGAGAACGATATCAGGTAGATGGAGAATGAAAACTGTGATGAGAGCAATTTTTTGCCATTACAGTATTATGGGTTGTGATTTACAGAGGTTCTTCCTTCCCCACCATCACCTACATTTGGTCAAATGTCTTAATTCTTCAGAGCAGTGAAATTCTCATTAACAGAGCATATTCTTTGTAGTTGGTATATAGTCAACTGAATGATTTCAGGATATGGATCTGTAATTAAAACTGCTATGTGTAATAATCCTGAGATAAGAGTAACCTTCTCATTAGGTCAATGTTGTGATAGGGTTCAACACTCTCACCCCTCAAATTCACAGGGCCTTTAGCTCCATTTGATTTTGTACTTGCTTTCAATTTTATTCTCCCATTTAACCTATTTATAATCAGATAAGACTTGCTGAGCTCAACGTGAGTCATCTTGATTATGTCTTACTCAGAAAGGGGATATGGCTCTTTATTGAGCCCTTTCAGCATGTCAGTTTTACAAAGATCACATCAAATGACCTCATGCTTTGCGAGGCAAATTGGGCATATTAATTAGTTCATTCTACCACAAATTTGAGTTATCTATTTTGTATATTTGTAGAAAGAAAAAAAAGGCTTTACTGCCCCCTAGTGGTATTTTCTAAAGTGGGCCTTACAGACCAAAACTATTACAATTGAAACATATCCATGGAATGCAATCTAATCAGAATTAATACATGAGGGAATCGCTGGAAACAAATCTTTGTCATAGAATCAGTTTTCTAAGCATGAAAAAGACAGGGTTGAAACACACAAGTTTCTTTTGTAGGCCTCCTTATGCATATAATCATTTATTTGCTTTTACAAGCTAGGTATTATTTTCAAAAGAAGTGGAATAAGAATACTACAACAAGAAAAAATTAAAAGAATGACAAAAGGTATAGATACTATACCATTTGTTATTCTTTTAAATTTTAGATACTATAAAGACTTAGTGAATTGTCAAAATATCTGAGATAAGCCATAAATCTAAAATATGCTGCCAATATATTCTAATATACAATTAAAAGCTTGAAGTACTGAAAGACATAGCCAGTTTCTAAATAAATCATGTATCTGTTGAACTTTAAAAATATTTGATTAAAATAATTAAAACCAAACAGAGGAAAAAACTACAGGTAGTCCTCGACTTACGACTATAATTAAGCCCAAGATATCTGTTGCTAAGTGAATTTTGACCCATTTTACCCACATTTCTTGTCAATTGACAATTGTTAAGTGAATCACTTAACAATTGACAATCACTTGACAATTTTTAAGTGAATCTCTGCAATTGTTAAGTTAGTAAGACGGTTGTTAAGTGAATCTGGCTTCTCCAACAACTTTGCTTGTCAGAAGCTTGCAACTGTCATAGATACTAGCCAATTGCCAAACAACTTAATATTAATCACATACCATGGGGATGCTGCAATAGTCACGTGTGAAAAAAGGGTCATAAGTCACTTTTTTCAGTCCTGTTGTAACTTTGAGCGGTTGCTAAATACAGTAAATTGTTGCAGGTTGAGGACTTCCTGTATGGATAATAAAGGATGAACGGAGTACTGCAGACAGTGTGTGTAGATTATTTTTCAAAATATAAATTCTAAAATTCAAATTTTAGCACAATTCTATGTACAGAATTCTACTTGTAACTTACAATTCAATTCCAAATAATAATGTATTATAAAGGTATATATCAAACTTACTTTTGAAATACGAGGTTATTCTAGACACTGAAGCATCTTCCCACAATTTGGTTAGCCATTCTTCCATAGAGAGGATCAAAGATCTTTTCCTGTGAAAAACCATATAAAACCTTTGCAGTTGTTAACGTATATAATGCCAGGTCAGTACACTTTGAAAAAAAAAAAGTATGATTTAGTGAAGCTTATTCAGGATGAAGTGGAATTGTGACTATGAAAATAGCATTATTCCTTCCTAGATTTTCATAACCTGAGTAGCAAACATGATTTTTTAAAATTGTCCAATTCCAGTCTGTTTCAATTCACTGATGTTTAAGATACCAATGCGCAAGAGTTTTATTTAATTTTTCACTGTGTTGCGCTTTACCATGTCCTTACTTCTAACTTTCTGTGTTCCTATTGTAATTCTGCTTTGGGTCTTTCAGTTTTCTTTTTAAGTATGGCAATATATGCAACTAGATGTCTCAGAAGGTTTAATATACCAATTTCATAAATACCCTTAGTAATCCAAAAGCTCCTCAGCTCTTTCTCAGTAGCATGTTGAGGGCCCTTTGACCTGAGAGATCTACCATCTGGGACTATATTGTTAATTACTTTATATTATCTATGTTGTTTTCTTGGTAAAATACAAAAGTGGTTTACCATTGTTTTCTGCATAGCATGTAATGATGCCTTTGCCATTGTCAGTAAAATGATGAACTGCCTCCAGCATCTTCCTATATTGCTGTTAACTAATTTCGGTGCATAGTTGATTTATTTGGGCAGCTAGGATGACCTTGGTTAACCCCGCAGAGATTACAGGTAGCCCCTGACTTACAACAGTTCACTTAATGACCGATGGAAGTTACAACAGCACTGAAAAAAGTGACTTATGACCACTTTTATGACTGTTGCAGCATCCCCATGATCACACAATTTACATGTGGATGCTTGATTACTGACTCACATTTATGACGGTCGCAGTGTCCCTGGATCACTTTTTACAACCTTGACAAGCAAAGTCAATGGGAAAACCAAATTCATTTAACAACCGAGTTACTAAATTAACAACTGCAGTTGTTCACTTAACAAATGTGGCAAGAAAAGTTGTAAAATGGGGCAAAGCTCACTTAACAAATTTCTCAGCAACATAAATTTTGGGTCATACGTTCTTTCATCACCTCTCTTAGGAACAGCCCTGTTCCACAATGAGGCACCGTAGCAGGACATGGATATCTTCATAAGCTAGTTTTACTAAAATATTTTAAAGGTTTATATTAAACTTTAAATGGGAAAACCAAATGTAGAATTCCATGTGAATGTCTACGTAAACAATGACATCAATAAATCTATACCATCAAATGATAATTTGACATAGGAATGGGTGAAACTTTGTGTCACACTAATTCTCACATAATTCTTCAGATAATCTTGTTTTAAGAAGATTACAAACTATGTGGTAAGGGCTGCATCATAGGAATTGTTTTTCAGTGGTTTAATTCTGGGAAATTGTAATAGAAGTAGTCATACCTGAATATCATCCTGTTGTGTACTTGAGGATAATAAGCTGAAGCATTTAGGAGAACCAGTTTAGTGTAGCAGTTAAAGGCACTAGGTTAAAATAATGGGAGATTCATAGCTGGTCTTAGCTATGAAGCCAGCTGGATTACTTTGGGCAGTCACTCCTCAGTTCTAGGAGGAGGCAATGATGTGGCAGGGAAATGCTTCCGAAAATGTTGCCAAATAAATGGCAGTGACTTTTATCCAAGCAGCCACTAAGAATTAAGATAGACTAGAAGGAGCAAAAGGAAAATAAAAAAAAAGATTAAACGTAGCATGCATGACTGCAACTTTAGCATCATCCAGACAAAAGAGTGAATCATCTTTAGTTTGAATAAGACCTGGAAATATCAGGCAAATCTCTTGCCAAATATGATCAGAATTGCTAAAATTGCTCCTTTATCTAAGCGGCTTCATATATTGATTGTACCTGTGTATGCGTGAGACCCATCCCCAGAATCTGAGAGGAAAAATTATTTGGAAATTTCACCTCTGCCTACTTTATTGATGTTACAACATCACTACCACAAAGCCAAAGGCTCTTGGGGTTGTATATATTTGTACATGAATGCTGTATATACATGTGCACACACACATATTTAAGGACCTCTTCCCAGCTACAAATGTTACCCACGACTGGTGTGAAAGGTACATAAGGAATCAGTAGCCAGGTCTAAGGCAACTGTCATGTGTAGGATCCAATCTGGGTCAGTTACTAGGATCAGAGCTTTCAGCCTTGGGCTGGAGCCCATCCTCAGGGAATTTCTCTCTGGCAGAGTGTGTGTCTGTCATATGTTCCTGGAAACCGAAAGCATTTGAAACTTTTAAAAAAAAGCATCTTGGAAAAAACATTTACTGGATTTTAAATGTGTTGTTTGTGTTTCAGTATATCTTGTGCAAATTAAATTGAGTAAACCATAATGAAAATAATCATTGTAACATGCTAGGCAAACACAGTCTTGGAGCAGGTGACAGCAGCTCCTGCTGACATTGAAAAAAATATGGAGTAACTAAGAACACACTAAGGTTTTTGGCTTTTTATGTGTGTCCTCCCAATATTGTTATATGGAGGATTTCCAAGGTAAGAGAGACCTGTTTAAACAACCTTCTTTCATTAGCATAAATCCTGTGAGAACATGAATGTTCA